AACAATAGAATTTAACAGCTACAGTCCCATAAGTTTGAATATAATGTTTCTTAAGCCAAAATATGAGGCCATTCACGTCCAATTTGTACCCCTCAAAACAAATTCTAGATTAACCTTATAACTGCTGATAGTTGCATTACCCATAAAATCTAGAAATTAAGGACACAGCACATCACCTTGAATTTAATTAGTATTATATCATATATCTATAAATAGATAAGTATTATACTTTATATTATATATCTATCTAAATTACGGAATATATAATGCTAAGCTTTTGCAAGAGTTCCAAAAAACATTGTTTGACACCTTCACTTCATAAAGTGATTTATAATGCTTACAGAGAATTAGAGAAAAATACACATACATGAAAATAATATTTTGCTAAAAATTAAAATGTTAAAAATAATTTGAAAGTTCATAAATAAAACATTTTATAATCAACATGAACCAAACAAGTTTTCACGTTTCTCATCATCAAAATTTTGTCTTTTTCTATCTCAACATCATTCGCTTTCAATGAAAAAATTGAATTCAAATAGAATACATGTCACGTTAACTAGAAAGGGGAGAGAAGAAGAAAAGAAAAGAAAAGAAAGAAAGAAAGACAGGAGAGTAAACAAGGATAGCCGTTATTCCAGGCATTTCATGGCAAGACCACAGTTGACATTAATACCTATAATATTCAGAAAAGCCACTTTTTTGAGTCTACACAAACACACATCCACACATCTCTCAGTTTTTAATGTAGTCATGTTTCATGGTCAAATGTAACCACATATTACTCAAAACTACAATCATTTAATAGGAAAAATCCGGAGAAAGATAGACCAAATATTTAGTTAATAATTACCAACATATTGAAAGCACAACACATGTAACATAAACATACCCTAAGACGGGGATGCACTAGGGTTACTCATGTAACATAAATGATACCCTAAGATAAAGGAGAGTGTTATATTTTATATTATGCATCTATGTAGATTACATCATATGAAATGCATGCGTCAATGTGTGCATGTGCGTGTGCGTGTTATGATTCTAATGCATCTAAATAAAGGAATGACTTGACAAAATTTTCAAATCTAACAAGTTCCAAAAGCTTCTGAAAGAGTTCCCTAAATGGTATTTGAAACTTCACTGGATAAATTAGTTCATAATGCTTACAGAAAATTAGAGAATTGTCAAACACATATCTGAAAATACTATTTGACTCAAATTTAAAATATTTAAACTAATTTGAAAATTTATAAATAGAAAGTTTTATACTCAACACGAATTTTACAAGTTTTCACATATTTCTAATCATCAAAATTCTTAGTCTTTATCATATGCGTCCAATGAAAAAATTGAATCCAAACTAGAACAAATGTCACATTAACTAGAAAGGGGAGAGAAGAAGACAAGAAAGAAAGAAAGGAGAATAAATATGGATATACGATATTCCAGTTATGACATGGCAAGACGCCAGTTAGACATTGATACATACACTATTCACAAAAGCCACGTTTTTTATGTCTACACAAACACACATCACACATCTTTCAATCGTTAATATGACCTTTCATGTCCAAATGCTGCTACATATTACTCAAAACTCCAATCATTCAATAGTAAAAACCTGAAGAAAGATAACAGAAATCAACACATATCTGAAAATACTATTTTGCTCAAATTTAAAATCTTTAAACTCATTAGAAAATTTATAATAGAACGTTTTATACTCAACATCAATCACACAAGTTTTCACATATTTCTAATTATCAAAATTCTTAGTCTTTATCTATCTCAACATCATGTGTGTCAAATGAAAAAAAATTGAATCCAAACAAGAAACATATGTCACAATAACTAGAAAGGGGCGAGAAGAAGAGAAGAAAGAGAGAAAGAAAGGAGAATAAATATGGATATCCAATATTCCAGTCATGACATGGCAAGACGCCAGTTAGACATTAATACATACACTATTCAAAAAAGCCACGTTTTTTATGTCTACAAAAACACAAATCCCATATCTCTCAATCGTTAATATAGTCACCTTTCATGGTCAAATGTTGCTACATATTACTCAAAACTCCAATCATTCAATAGGAAAAACATGAGGAAAGATAGACAGAAATCAACACATATCTGAAAATACTATTTTGCTCAAATTGAAAATCTTTAAACTAATTTGAAAATTTATAAATAAAGCGTTTTATACTCAACATGAACCACACAAGTTTTCACATATTTCTAATCATCAAACTCTTAGTCTTTATATATCTCAACATCATGTTTCCAATGAAAAAATTGAATCCAAACTAGAACATATGTCACATTAACTAGAAAAGGGAGAGAAGAAGAAAAGAAAGAAAGGAGAATAAATATGGATAACCGATATTCCAATCATGACATGGCAAGATGCCAGTTAGACATTAATACATACACTACTCACAAAAAGCCACGTTTTTTATGTCTACACAAAACACACATCACATATCTCTCAATCATTAATATAGTACCTTTAATGGTCAAATGTTGCTACATATTACTCAAAACTCCAATCATTCAATAGGAAAAACCACCCGAAGAAAGATACGTGGAAGATTTAGCCCTTGTTTGGGCTCCATTAAAATCAAATTTTGAGAAAAATGTATTTTGGAATAGTGAATTTTTGAATGTGTGGTTAAAAAAGGAAATTTTTTGGATTTACGTATAAAATTATTTCATTGGAGAATGTGTGGATGGAAAGAAGAGAGGAAAAAATGCATTTTAATTGTAATGGAACCCTAACATATGCTTAGTCAATAATTACCGATGTATAGAAAGCAAAACATATGTAACATAAATGATGTTGTAAGACATTGATGCACTAGGTTACTCTTGTAACATAAACGATATCTAAGATCAAGGCGATCTTTATATTTTATATATTATATATACACTGTGTAGTAGATTATATCGTATGTAATGCCCTACCACATGTGCGTGCGTGCGTGCATGTTATGATTCCAATTCATCTAATAAATGAATGACTAGAGAAATTATTCCAATTTAACGAGTTTCAAAAGGTTCTAAAAGAGTTCCGTAAAATAGTATTTTAAAATTCACTTGATAAATTAGTTTATAGTGCTTACACAAAATTAGAGAAACGTCAAGATATATATGAAAAATACTATTTTGCTAAAATTTAAAATCTTAAAATAATTTAAAAATTTATAAACAAAACGTTTTATACTCAACATGAACGATACCCTAAGACGGTGATACACTAGGGCTTCCCATGTAACATAAAAGATACCCAAAGATCCAGGCGATCATTATGTAGATTATATCATACAATGTGTGAGCATGAGCGTGAGCGTGTTATGAAATGGATGACTTGACAAAATTTTCCAATCTTACGAGTTCCAAAAGCTTCTGAAAGAGTTCCATAAAATAGTATTTGACACTTCACTTCTTAAATTAGTTTATAATGGTTATGGAGAACTAGAAAAACATCAACATAGATACAAAAATATTTTTTTTTTCCCTCAAAATTTTAAATCTTTCAAATAATTTGAAATTTTTTAAATAAAACGTATTATAATCAACATGAATCCCACAAGTTTTCACATATTTCTCGTATCAAAATTCTCTGTCTTTTCTATCTCAACATTATGATATAAGTCCAATTAAAAAATTGCATCCAAACTAGAATATGTGTCACTTTAATTAGAAAAGGGGAGAGAAGAAGAAGAAAAGAAAGAAAGTAGAATAAATAAGGATATCCGACATTCCAATCATTTCATGGAAAGATGCCAATTAGACATTAATACTTGTACTATTCAGAAAAGCCAAGTTTTTTATGTCTACAAAAACCCACATCCACATATCTCAGTCATAAATATATTATTCTTTCATGGTCATATGTTGCCACATATGACTAAAAACTCCAATCATTCAACAAGAAAAATTTAGAGAAAGATAGACCGAAGATTTAGTTAATAACTACCAAAGTACTGAAAGGAAGCCACATGTAACATCATAGATACCCTAATACAGTGATCCACTAGGGTTATTAATGCAATAAAGAAATTGCGACAAGAACATGTACTCATACACATAGAAACTTGATTCTACTCTTAGGTGATCCAAATACAATTGTCCAAAGGAATGTCATGATTTGAATAAAACTAATTATTTGTAAAAATAATTGATATATAAAACCAGTGGAGCAACAAATTACCTTGAATTATAACAAGAACACCATTTATTCATTCCAAGCCAGCAACTTTATGCCTCAACTTCATATTATTATTCTCCTGCCAAAAATGTTAAACCACATTAAAATGTGAAATCATCCCTCAATGTTAAAAAAGATATATTGCCTCTGGTTCCGACATATTGGAATTTGATTTTTCAATCTGTTCCGAATATTTAATCTTAGTTAGCATTCTCACCTGCTCCAGAACTTTGGCAGAGCCCTGTTCGACCACTTTCGACAACCCATCGAGCTTGGCAAGCATTTTATGATACAATTCCTCCAACTCAGCTGTTAAATGCGTAGCTTCGGAGCCAACTAATTTACTCAGCCTCCCAATCTCAAATCCATCCGCGCACATATCCAGTTGCTTCTGATCCTTCATAGCCCCCAAACTCTCAACCTTTTCATCCTCCTCCATTGCATTGGGGCCCCTCAAATCACAATTAACAAAAGGGAATGGCGCATTCGGGCTAAAAGATTCATAATGGGAACGAAAAGATGGGCCAATGTTAATTATACTCAAGCTCTTGGGCTCGAAAGATTTATTAGTAATGCGGTACTGAAAGGTTTTGTATTCATGGGTGTGAATTAATTGATCTTGAATCTGCGTCGTTATACTCAAGCTCTTGGGCTCGAAAGTTTTATCAGTGATGCGGTACTGAAAGGCTTTGTATTCATGGGTGTGAATTAATTGATCTTGAATCGGCGTCGTCAAGAGAATAAAGAGAGAAGGAGTGAGAGAAAGAGATGAATTTTTGGGGGTGAATGAATGAGAAGTGGAGGACGAAAGAGCGCGGGTAGTGGTGGAGTCTTTAAGAGAGGGGCGAAGTGCGGTTTTCCGGCGAGCGGAGAACCAGCCGAGAAGGGTGGTGGTGATGGTGTGAGGTGGCGGCGGAGGAAGAGAGAGGTGGGAGGGGAGGGAGATGAAGGAAGTGATGGTGGCGGTGAGAATTGGACCAGTAGCGGTGGAGGAGGTGGTGGAGTCGTCGGAGAGGGGATTGTGGGTCGAAGGGGTAACATGGCCGAAGAGGTAGCCGTGGAGGTCGCCGGTGGCAGCGGATGCACGGTGGAGGAGGGAGGCCAAAGTGGCGCCAGATAACTGGATCTTCTCAATTGAAAAATCGTCCATTACTTCGATTGTGTGTTTGCTGGGAGAACAGAAGCAAAAGAGAGATTTGCCTCTTTTCAGCTATTGGCACAAATTTAGGGTTGGCTAAAATGTCACAGCCCATCCCATCCAGCCTCGTCTTTTGGGGGCGAGGAATTTCGTGACAAATCGATTATTATTTCGAAATGCCAAAGTTGATAATCACCAAAGGTTTGGAAATGATAATAAGATCGGATGGTGCATTTGTCGGAATTATAATATCGTCCAAACGTCATCGAGACTTTTTTGTGGATTATTTACCGTTCCATGAATTATATATTTATTTTTTAGTTTGATTCAATTAAAAATTGAAAATAAAAAATTTAAAGATTCGAGGTTGGAATCATGTTTCCCGTCAACAACCATGAAGATAGCTTCAAAATAAGTTTTTAAGTACATCCAAACATGTAGTTAATTTGGTAAAAGAGAGACCAAATAAAGGAAATAAAATTTTGAGCTTAAGTGCACTATCTATCAATTGTCCATAGAACAGTATTCACTTCAATTCTAAGTACCGATTGTACACTTCAACAAGTTTGCGACTGATGGGGGTGTTTGTTTTTTATTTTAGAATTGATTTTCAAATCAAATCTCATTTTTAACCACACATTTTTCAATAAAATAATATTTTCCATTACATCAATAATTTTTTCTTTTTTTTCAACCACACATTTCCCATCATATCACTATTCAAAATCAATTCTTCCCCCAAAAATCCCTCCCAAACAAGCTCTAAATATTTCTTCACAGGTAAGTTAAAAATTCAAAACATGTTTCACAGCAAGTACTTACTTAGGCCCTGTTTGGGAGGAATTAAATTTTTCTACAGTAAATCAATTCTCATTTTCAACCACACATTCTTCAATAAAATAATATTTTCCATCACATCAATAATTTTTTCTTTTTTTTCAACCACACATTTCCCATCATATCACTATTCAAAAATCAATTCTTCTCCCAAAAATCCCTACCAAACAAGCTCTGAATCTCAAAATAACACGGAGGAGCTGACGAAGATGATTATGGCCGAGTTTCTTTCAATACATATTATGCCACACAAACTGTAAGCACTTTTGGTCTATATTACAACTGAATTTTAGCACGAAAGGGACGAAATGGATAAAACACACATAAGGCAGCAAGGAACATAAGGTACAAAATCATGGAGGTGTCTTCTGCTAGCTGGAAGCACTTCAAGCCAGATGGAAGGATCTAAATTATCAAAGGGCATATGATTCTTGGTTTAAGAACCACGGCTTCTACTTCTTGTAGAATGGTTTCATGAGAAAGCCAACTTAATTAATGTTTGAAAACTAAATTCTAAAAGGATTTTCTCTTTATTTCCTCAAATTCAAGAATACTATATGGCAAACAACAATAAGATTCCAAGCAGTGCAGTGCTAAAGAACATGGTGATGCAATTGCTTTACAAAATTAAGATGGAAATTTTACTGTAATGTAAAAACCAAAACTGCAGACTATGGCTGAACTTCAGGAATCCCTCATTCTGAACATCCACATAACAAAGTATTTCAAGTATAAATACTACTGAACATAGAAGTTTCGACAATGCAAGAGTATCGCATATGGTATTACTAGTGAAAAGACAATAATTATTACAATGGTACAGTTATAAGTTCGCAAAGTTATGGGAACGCACACTTCTATCAGATTAACAAGAAAAATGAAATTTGAAAGCTCGTGGCCCTGGCGATGCGTTCGAGCCTTGTCGGAGATGGCAGTGAGCACGTCCCAGACATTCAGATGGAAATACTGAAGTGGTTGTGAAGCAATAAACTAAAATCATATTCTAATCGATAAAAAAAAAAAATTATATTCTAGATAAAATATCAGAATAAAAAGATAGAACTTATTACAACTAAACATCTTATTATAAATATATAATCATAATCCTATTTATAACAGAATTGTCCTAAACACTAATACAAATAAACATATAAATCAGACAATGAACTTCTTGGCAAACTGGTCCGACCCCGGGCTGCTGTAGAACACAACTAGCTACATTAACACAATATCCAATAGCTACATTAAACCAATGAAAAAGGCCACAATAAAGAGAAGATATCTACACCAAACTGAACGTTAATAAAAAGGGACATGGTACAAAATTCAATAGAACATGACAATCAATCATCATTAATTCTCTTTCTAAGTAGACCATTAGCCCAATAAACAAAGATTATACAATAACCCGGTAATGAAAATTCGATATATCCAGTAATAGCAATTACAGATATTAGCATCCCCAATTTTTTCATGAAAGGGAGAATATTAGCTAATATGATTAAAAGTGTAAAGGAAACTATAACTTGTCATTCGATTTTGATGAAAACTGAACATCGTCGTGATATTGATCCGGATGTAATGGTTATAATCGTCAAACCTCAAATCCCGGCGGCAACTGGTGGCGGAGCAACAGAGACAGAGGCAGCATTGGAGGCGGCGCCACCGGTGAATAAAGAGAGGAATCCGGAAACCCCATCCCGTGACTCCTGATCGTCAAGGAACAGATCTTCCGGGGCCCTAAACGAACCGTGTAAGAAAACAATTGCTACGCCAATCATAAAAGACGAAACGAGAACAGACCCCACACTGGTGAGGAAAATCACGACAACGGTAGAGAAGATCAAGAACAGAAGGGTCTCGAAATCGGAGAATTGGCGGCCGAAGATGGTGACGGGAGGGTCGGAGGACTGGCGGAAGATGTAAAGGAAGAGCCAGGCAGCGAGGAGCGCCAGGAGGAGGATGAGGGAGAAGGGGTTGGTGAGAAGGGAAATAGCGAGCACGGCAGTGATTACGGTGAGGTAATTGATGCGAAAATAGTTGTAGTTCTTGCGGAAGCGAAGAGTGGCGTCGGAGAGAGATTCCGGTTTGGAGAATGCGGACCGGTCAAGAAGCTCCGGCTTTGGAATAAAATGCACCGAATGCTGAAACAGAGGAGGATTGCTGGGTGTCAGTGGTTGTGATGGCTATGGCGGCAGTGTCTGAGGAAACGGCGGTGGTGGGGGCGGCAGAATCGGAAATGGGGAGAATGGCCGGGGAAGGATTTGCCATTTTTTCGTTGGTTGATTTGAGAGAGAGTTTACACAAACATTTATAACGTTAATGGTTGGCTTTGCTTAACTCATACAGTACGCGGGGTTATAAAACGACGTCGCTGCTTCCATGTGATCTGTGGATTCAAATAGAAATAAAGTACAATACACAAAACGGTCATTCAAATTTAAACAAAATTTGAAATTGGTAATTATAGTTTAAAATATTTCCAGTTTAGTCCCCATTTCCCATTCCGTTGTCTCTCCTACGTGGCAAGTGATGAATCCTGCTGTCAAAATCGCCGTTAAATTGATGCCACATGCAACAAAATCGAGCTTCATAATGAGTAAGTGAAATGTGATAAGTCGATGTTTAAAACGCAATTTAAGGCTGTGTCTGGTACAACTTAACTTTCCAAAAAACCCCTTTTTATATCGTTACTTTTTGAATTCAGTCGCCTTTGTTGAATGTTTGTCTCACATGTGGGTCATGCTGGTTGAAAAAAAGGTCACATTTCTGATCAAAATCTGTATAAAATTGCCAACAGACAAGCTCTAAATATGAACCCTATATGATTTAAGCACTTTTAGATTCATGTAGCACAAGTTTGGTACATGTGACATTTATTTAACAAGAAGTTTTGATGAGTAGGATTGATTGCTTGCCACGTAAATTAACTATTTAGTAGGAGTGAACAAATAATCATCAATTGGTTGAATTGAATCGAAATCGTGATTTTGAAGCCGTTGATTTAGGTTTCGACCATTTCATCGACTTAAATTGTTCATCCAACTTTTAAAAATAAAAAAGTTATTATTTTACCTAAGATATATTATCTATTAGTTCAATATATACTTCAAAAAAAATTTAGTAATTTACTTGCTAGAAGGTTTCATTGACTTTTTAGAAAAATAAAAATTCAAGAAACAAACATGAAATTGTTTAGCACCTCGAATCCAAAAAGGTTCTCAAGCCATCAAGACAAGCAAGATAGATTACTAAGCATACACACAAACATTATAAAACATCCAAGAAAGTCGAACATAATCCAAAGATATTGTGCGATATAAGTTGATTCGTGCATTAATGCGAAAACCATACATAAGATGCCTAGAAGGTCGATCCATTCCACCCAAAGTTGGAACCCTGCAAAAACAAATAAATGCCGTAAGTAAAATTAATAAAAAAGACAACAATTTCACGAAAAAATCTTCAGAGGGATTAAAAAAAAAATGGTATATAATTATAATAGTGCAATGTAATAATCATGGATCTAAACGGTGAAAGTTCGTTTACATGATTTAGAATTGGTGCAAGGCATGAAGACATTGTGCATATTCTTGACTCTGATGAGCCTAAACAAGCAGGAAGAATGCAATGAGACGACACTAGCGCCTGACAGAGACAACCTTTTACAAACTTAGAAAGCACGAATTGGATACCTTAGTGTCATAGAATTTGAGGTAGAGTCTTGATTTGGGGACAGACAACTTAGTTTCAAGTATGTTGGCAATAGCAGCACTCAGCTTCTTGTTGACATCAGGGTTAAGTCCTCCAATGGACACCAACTCTCCATACGCAGCAGGCTGCTCTGTTCCGCCAAAGGCTAATGGTACAGATCCCTTCAATACGATCATCACATACTGCATCATGACAGATATAACAAGTATTTAATAGTCCTTCGAAATCTATCTACAATATGGCCAATAAAAAGCAAGATACTATTTTATTTTAAGCCGATTATCATAAAGTAGATTATGTGAAGGATAAATCTCACATCAAATAAAAATGAAAATCATAGCTTTGCTTACTTCTCTTAATAAGGTCAATATAGTATTGGAGCCCAACAAGCTTAAACGAGCAACTTGATTCTTATAAAGCTCAAACAAGCACTCGGATTCCAAGATTGGCATGCTCAAATAAGCCACCACCTTGGGGCTTGGGCTAATTTTAAAGAGGTTGACATTTTACGATGAAATCCCAAGCTTCAATAATCAAAGACCCTTTAGACTCAAAAGAGCTGCTGCAATTATGTGCAATTGAAAACTAAGAGCCGAAGCCAGAGAGATAAAAATGCAATAGCTTCAACATTCCAATTATTGGCTTATTTTGCTTATGTGACAATTCCGTCAAGATCTCATTGGGGAGAATCAGTATAAATCAGATATTAAACATTTTACAATTTTCTTTTCAATACCCCAATATGTGGCACCGGGGGAGAAAATTTTGGTGACATCCAGCTCGAGGTGAGCCATGAACAATGTGTTTCAATGACTATGTTTCCAGCAATCTGTATCATGCAGTAACGGCACACCATACATCACATTCAGCAAATTTTTTGCCTCCGGCAACAAATTCAATCAGTATTCTCCTTCTTAATACATAAACTAATCCATAATCTCTCAGATTCAGTAGATTTTTAACCTCCAGAAACAAATTTTTAATCCATGAACTAATCCCAAAAATACCAACTAACCCGTTATTATATTTTTTAATCTTCAGTTCAGCAAATTTTTAACCTCCAGCAACAAATTCAACCAGTTTTCTCATTCTTAATCCATAAACTAATCCGAATCTACCAACTATTCCATAATCTCCTTTTTATCGCATGTTTAATTTTTAACACACCCAGCACAAAATTCAACCACCTTTCTCCATAAACTAACCCCAATGTGCCAACAATAAAAAAATTAAAGAACCATAGAAACCCACCAAGATTTTAAGCATAATTACTTAAAAAACGTTTCCAACACAATTTGAAACCCCCCAAAATCGATAATATAACAAGGGAATAGAAAAACCCACAAACAAACGAATACGAAATGTAGTCAATTGAGCATAGGAATCCAAAACTGAAATTATTATTATATATTATGATTAAACATAAAAGGAAGGTAAAGAAATAGAAACAGTATGAATATATTACGGCTTCCGGTTTGCCGATGAGTTTGGCTACAGTGGAAGTGGCTTCAGAGAGGATGGAGGAGGTGTCAACGCCCTCCAGGCTCACGTTAGTCGACAGATTCAGGCACGGCATTTTTCCCACAAAATACTTCTTTCTCAAGCACTGGAATGTTCTTTACTTTGTTATCCAAAACGAAATAGGTTAAAAATCTCCAAAGCACTAGTTTCAATTTTGTGCTCCATTTAGTGCTATTTATGTTCATTTTCCAACCATGAAAAAAAAAATCCCAGTTAGTTCATGGGCCATTCTAGCCCAACAACGACTATTAAATACTCTGAATTAGCGGTGGCAAAAAATTTCAGGGGCTCGGACGGCTCGGCTTGGAATAGGCTCGGGCCAAGCCCCATTTTAGGGCTCGACCCTAGCCCGGGCCGGCCCGTGTGGCTCGGGCCGAAACGGTCAGTGTCAAAGCAATTATATAAAAAAAATTGAAAATTAAAAATTTGATTTTAAATTAAAGCTGTTTGCTGTGCAGACAGGAATGCAGCTACAAAATTGTAGCTGCCTGTGCAAGCAGCTACAAAGCTGCCTGCGCATGCAGCAACAAATGAGCTGCGCAAGCTGTTGCTTGCGTGCACGCAACCACAAAAATGTATTCGTAAATTTTTTTCATGTAATTGTCTTATTTTAATTTAAATTTTTATATTAAATATAATTAAAACGGATATATTTTTTTGTCTATAAATACGGAAAAAAATTTATAAATCCATATCAATCTCTCGAATTTCTTTACGCAATATTCAATTACAAAATTATTCTCTCAAATTCTTTACACAATATTCAGTATTTTACTTTCCAATTTTTGTTACTCTATATTTCAATATTTTATAGTATAATACTTATACATGGATTTTACTAGTGATGAGATTAATCAGTTTAAAGGTAGTTTGAGTACTCCATTAGGATACGATGCATCTCAAAATGT